CGATTTAGGGTCGGGATCGAATCCACAGAGAGCTAGAATTTGGAATCGAGTATCTATCTAGTGTAGAATTGCGTATGTGTTCTTAATTACACTTCTATTCATTTTTGGGGTTTTTGTTTACTTCTACTATTATCAAACTACAAATGGTAATTGCAACTAAATTATGCTAAGAGTTATAATGCTACGAGTTGTTCAAATAGGTTTAAAAGGCACTAGGGTAGTGACTACCGCCTAGGTGGTCAATTGACGGGTACTTGAATCTAAAGCACGTTTGACATGTTTGGGGATTATGTTATAACCGTTGCACGACTTTACCCACTCTACACCTCTCGGTGGTTCGAGTGATTTTGCCCGAATTGGCTTTCTCAAGACCAATTGGGTATGCAAATTTGCACAAGCAACTAGGGTTCAATTCGGGTATTACTCTCTCGAGGTTTAACCCTTTAATTGGGGCTATCAATCTCTTGAGTACGCCCCAATTCATTGTTGGACCAATTTCGGAGACTTAGGCTCTCTTTCAAGAAGAGCTCAAGTCAACTCAACACAAACTAGTGTTTGCAACCACTAATTCAGAAATTAACCATGAAATTGGCCCAAATAACAAACACCCATAGTCAAATTAGCCCTAAAATACAAGACCCATCAATTACCCACACTAGGGTTGAGCCACAACCCTAGCTTATGGTTCTAGCTACTCATAATTAAAGAAGAAAAGCAAGAAATAGATGAAGACAAGCTCATATTAATTAATCACTAAGTTAAATACAAAGATTCAATGATTAAAAGTAGCTAAAATTGCCCAAAATGGCTTAGAAAGTCGAACCCACGAGTGCAGCTGCTTAATTACAATATCTGATACCCTAAAAATGGAAAAAGAAGCTATTTATACTAAGCTGAAAAATCTGGACAAAAATGCCCCTGCGGGGTTAGTGCCGACCGCACAAAATGGACCGCGCTCCGCATTGGGGCTTTGGCCTTGAAAAACAGCTCTCTGAATCTTGGCATCGCGGGCCGCAGAGAATGGACTGCGGCCGCGGAGGCTTCTAGTGCGGTCCGCATAAAATGGACTGCGGACCGCATTGGCTTGAAAACTCCAAATTGCAACTTCTCTGATTCTTTGCTCTGCGGACCGCACTAAATTGACTGCGGCCGCATTGCCTTCAGTGCGGATCGCATAAAACCTAGTGCGGCCGCACTGCCTCTTAGCCTGGAAGTTAGCCTCTCTGAATCTCCTAGTGCGGACTGCACAACGTGGTGTGCAGCCGCATTGGGCCTGTTTTGCCTGAGCTTGTCTTGTCTTTGGCACTTGTGCAAGTTTCACTCCTTTTGAGTTGATCTTTGACATCTCGTCATTTTGATGATCAAACTTGCAATCAAGCACAAATTGTGAGCCGTTTGGGACTATTTTGTATGAATTTCTACTCAAAGCATAAGCAAGAAGGAGTATAAAATGCGTCAAAATCCCTAGTTATCATCCAACATAAGAGACCTAAGCACATTGACGTTCATCACCACTTTCTCAGAGATAATGTTGAAAACGAGCTTATTTGTATAAAATTATGCAGCATAGAAGATCAAATTGCAGACATATTCACCAAAGCACTGAGCAGAGAGCATTTTGAACGAAATCGCTTGTCTCTTGGGTTGATGAAATCAAGCTGAGGACCTGGTCCCTTGATGATTGGCTACGAAAGAGAGTTATAGGTAAAATAGATAAAAAATGTTTCTGGCACAGTCAAACTCATCTCTATACCGTTACAGGTAGACACACATGACAATCACAGAGCAAAGAAGCAGCTAATGCATTGCACGTTGGTCAAATGATGAGGCTTACATTAGAAAAAACTATCGGGGAACCTGGTTCCCTCGACACAGGTTAGTAGTTCCTCTGTACTCTCATCCATAATTTTTAAATGGCTGAAACGGTGCCACGTCATCAATTCTCAGTTTCTTTTCTTTCCCGATTTTTGAACCCTAACGTCTCGCCTCTTTATGAACCGATCCGACTGCCCAAATTGCCACCCACTCCTAACCGGTCCCTCACCCCTATTAAATAACCCCTCTTAGTCCTTTTCACAACTATCCACATCAAAGAATCCAAAATTCCTCTTGTCCCTTCTTCAAACCTAAAACCTTCTTCTTCGGGAAGCCCAAAGTGCTCTAGTCATCGTCCCCACTGTGTCTTCACTCATCGAAGCACCAGTGTTAGAGCCAACACTCCCCACTCCAACCAGTCCAAACCCCAAATCAGAGTCACAATCACCCACTTCTCCAACCCAGTCAAGTACTCGTTCTCATCAGAGTCGCAAAACTTCGACTCTCAAAAGGTTTGTGGCTGTGTCCTCTCCTTATGCCTCGCCTGAAAAAATGGTGGAACAGGATACTGTAGAGATAGACAAAAATCCAGAAGTTACTAGTCTGCCTGTGCAAGAAAGCTCTGCTCTTGAGGAGGAACAAGATGTTGGTCATATCCCTGCTGAATCGACAATGATGGCCCTGGCCTTGATTCTACAGGTAATACTCTTCCTACTTCTGAGTTTACCATGGGGATACAAGAACAAGAAACCATAGAAAACATGTCGTCTATAGCTGCTGAGAGATGTGTTATTGGGGATAGAAATGGTGTGTCTGAGTCTTAGGGGGAAGAAAGTACACTAGTGGAGAGTAGGGAATTGGTGCCTGTTTCATCCGCACCGTACAATACTACTGGGGCACTAACTGAGGGACTTGATCCCTCCACTCAAGAGGAGCCAGCCCCTGGTTCCTCTCAATCACCCATGTCAGTATTGATCCTGCTCCCTCTCCTCACTTCTATGCTGAGCCTCTGTCTATAGTTGTCCCTGAGATGCGATCAATGTCTGAGGAGGAAAAGGAGCATAGCAAAGAAGAAGATTATGATAATGTGGCTCTAGCAAGCTTTATAAGTGTTAGGAGTAGAAAGGCACCTCCCCAAGGGTTAACGTCTAAAAGACCCATCACGAGGTTGCAAAAGAAGGAAGAATTTGAGTCTGTTTTAAGGAAAAGTAAAAAAGAAAAGGAGAAGAGGAGACTGGTGAAAGATGGAAAGGTTGTCAATGAAAAGGTAGTGCCTCCTGCATAAGTTGTGTATGTTGATGATGAGGTCGAAGAGGAACCTGGTTCCTTGGTTCGTAAGTCCTCAAAGAATATTCCTGTTCCAAAGACCAAAAAGGAGTCTTCTATGCTTAGAATGGAGTTGAAAAGGGTTGAGGGTGAAACATCTGTTGAGAAAGAGAGTGAAATGGGGGTGAGCAATGTCGAGGGTGAAAAATCTAGTAAAAATCGTTGAAAAGTCTGGTGAGCGTTTGGTTGGGAAGTCCATTGACAAGGTGTCATCTGCTGAGAAAGGAAAGAGTGAACGAAAATCAGTGAAAAGGAAGACTGGTACTAGTGAGGAACCTGGTTCCTCAAAGAAGGTCAAGGTTGATGCAACCCAGGGTCCTGAGAAGGAAAAATTGAAACATCAAAAGGTGTTGTGGGGCCGTACATTTGCCCCTAATACTCTAGAAATGGCTGGCATGCGTCAATTGGTGGAAATCTGTGAATTTCAACAGTGGACACACCTGTTCACAGGTGACAGTCCCAAGTGTATGGGGAAGAAGTGCGGAGTTTTTATGCCGACTTCTTTAAAGTTGAAGACGATAATATTTTTATGATGGTGAATGGTGTTGATTTTGTGATGGACTCTGCTGTGCTGGGAAATATTTTGGGTGTGCCCGCTGAGGGTTTATCTTCTGTTTAGGGAACCTGCTCTTCGAACTTTAAAAATGCTATCTTGAAGGATGAAGCAGTTCAACACGGGGAACATGTACAAAAGAAGGCCCTCCTTCCAGTGTACCAATTGTTGTTTGAAATGGTGAACAAGGTCTTTCTCCCTCGTGCTGAAAAGAGGTCCATTACATCTCGAGCGGACCTGGTTCTCATGGAAGCACTGGACAGTTACACCACTATCAACCTACCTACCATCATGATATAACACATGTCACACCTCTTTTTTCCCACACAACCCTATTACGAGGTTGAGTTTGAAGAGTTTTTCCAATTAAATCGACGTTTTGAAAAGGGATTATTTATTATTTGGAGTCGCCACTTGGAATTGAGTTTTGGTGTTCCAAGTCACCTTTTATTTAAATCCCTTATCAAAAGGAAGGTTTGACTCCCAATATATGGTCTACGAAAACAAAAGACTGAGTAAGGAATTCTGTTGACCGAGGGGAAGGTGTAAGACACCCCTCGAGTCCCGTGCTTCTAGCACGGTCGCTTTTATTGACTAATGTAAGGCTTAAATCAATTTTTGGCTATTCTTGCATTGTATTGGTTGTGGTTTGCCTATTATCACTTAATTAATTATTATATTTTTATTAATTGTATTCATCAAGATGTGGTACGCACAAAAAGTATTCTTCTTTGAAGTTGGATGTTAAACCAAGGTACTGAATGTACACATGATTAAAATATAATTATTTTAAATTTAAAGGTATCATGACCCGGTAATATGCACATGATCCTTTTCTTGTTTAGGCATATCAATCCAAGGTTCGGGCATGAACCCATGGGCTAATATTGAAAGTGCGTCTACACTTTTTCTAGTGTATTTAGAGTTATTTTCCTAAACTAATTTGAGATCGTTGTGAGGTCATGATTTATGGAAATAGTTGTAGAGGAAGTGTAAAATTTGACTACTTGGAATTAAGAAAATTATTAAAAAATATCATAACTTAATAAAGTGCTAATCTTTAATGCTAATGTTATAAGGATTTCAAATATAAAAAAAAAAACCCACAGTTTCTAATTAAGCCAAACGGTTCCCTCAACTTTGCATGGCCCAAAATATTATCTCATAAGTCTATATTTGAAACAACATTAAAAAATATATGCACAACAGTGGAGAATAATGAATTAAAATTAGTGATAACACACAAAGCAACAAATTATCATTCAATGAGCGTAGAAAGAGAAGTCGAGAACAACAAACATTTAACTAAAGGAAACCAAAGCTGGAATATATAAAAAATCACGTCATTTTTTTTTCGGAAAAGGGTCAAAAATATTCCTTTACTATATGAAAAGGATTACATATACCCTCCGTTATACTATTGGTCTACTACAGCCCCTGACGTTATAAAATTGGTACAAAAATACCCTTAGTCCATTAAATCGTCCACCATGTCCAACATCATCACACATGGCCTGACTTTTTGATGATATAGATGCCACATGGCAATGCCACTTCACCACCCAAACTCCATTTTACCTCCTCCTACCACTTCTTCCTCTCCATAGTTGCATAAACCCTTAAGGATCTATAACAAAAAAAATTCCAGAAAATAAATTAGCTAAACATGAATAACCCAAAAATGGAGGGATTAATTCCATTCTTGTACAAAGCAATAATAGATTACAAAAATACTAAACAAGGCGGAATGACTAATGAATCGCCGTTGGGTTCTTACATGAGACTTCCTGGCGATTCGTGTCGGTTCGAGATGTCGGATATACATCTATTCGGGTCTCCTGATAACGGATTTTCAATGAAGTCTTCAGCTTCTTCAACTAGTACTGCCACTAAGAGAATGGTCTCCGGCGGATCACCGGCGGCGAGATGCCACTGGATTTCTACTCGTGCTGTTAACAGATAAAGAGACATATTTGGGAAAAAGGTAAAAAATCTTTGGTTAATTTCTTTATCTATGGTTGGGGTAAAAAAATATAAACTTTGCTAAAGGAAAATCTATAGCAAAGTAATCATGAAGTCAAATATTGTGGGTATTTATTGATAGTAACAAGAGGGTTAATTTCTTTTTTAATGTTTTTTTTGTTAATTTCATAGTTTTAAGATTGGTGGAAGTAAGTATAAGAATAACCCAAAAGGGATCTTACACTTATTGTCATATTCTTATGTGAAAATTCAAAATGTATATATTATATGGGTAATGTATTAGTGTTTGTTTCATAATTAAGTTGTCTGATTGTTTCTAGATATGTGTTTTTTATGTGAAATTTAATTAGTGTTTGTGTGATAAGTTTTTCATAATTACTGGCTAGAAAAGCCAGCTTAATTTTGTTTTTCTCTCTAATTGGTATGAATTTTTCAATAATTTATGTTCTTGATTCCAGAAGTCGTTTCTCCCCTTGTAAAAATACTACAAACGGTAAGTAAAAGGTTGTCATCTTTAAAAAAATTGAAAAGAAAGTAAAGAAAATTTAGTATTCATGTTTAGCTAATTTATTTTCTGAATTTATTTTGTTATAGATCCTTAAGGGTTTATGCAATTATAGAGAGGAAGAAGTGGTAGGAGGAGGTAAAATGGGGTTGGGGGTGGTGAAGTGGCATTGCCACGTGACATCTACATCATCAAAAAGTCAGGCCATGTGTGATAATGCTGGACATGGTGGACGATTTTACGGACTAAGGGTATTTTTGCACCAATTTTATAACGTCAGGGGCTATAATAGACCAATAGTATAAGGAAGAGTATATGTGATCTTTTTCACATAGTAAAGAAATATTTTTGACCCTTTTCCGTTTTTTCTTATATCTATAACACATATGCCAATTTAACACCAAAGCTAATAGTATAATCTTGATTGCACAAATTCATATTAACAAATAACGACTAGAGCATGATGATAAGTACTGAATAATATATCATTGACCTTCTCATGTTAATGCCTAGATAACAAAATAGAGGTAACTAAAATAAAATTTCAACTCGATACACTATGATTAAACATGAAACAGTGTTCAAGCATTTTCATTCAAGCATTAGATAAGAAAAAAATAAAGAGATAGAGTATGAAAGAATGGAACCTTTATTGCTGATAATATTCCCAACAGGTACGGTTTTAAAAAAAAAAAAGATCTAAAATATTAATCTTCAAGCAAGGTACGAATAAGAACTCGAACCGAAATTAGCAACCTCGAACAGATTCAACTCTTTTTCGGATTCCCTTCTTTTACTTTGCTTTCAATCTCGTTTTTCTTTCTCCTCAATTGTTATTTTTTGTCCCCTCAAAATCTTGGCCCCCTTTTATGTAATGTGTGTGTATTATATATAGATGTATGGGTGAGGGAAGTTAATGTGTCGGTGTGTGTACGTAAAAGAGTGGGAGACATGGGGTTGGGACGTGAGTGTTTGCATTGGTGTAGAGTGACGTGAGGGGCGGGGGAAGTTGGGATTGTTAGATCAAATAGGAGTTAGCTTTTTGTTTGTTTATTTTGTTATTTTTTTATATTAATTTTCGTTAGTTTTTTATTTTTAAAAAACCTTTTTCTAACCCATCTTTTATATATATATATTAACCAACTTACTTTTAGACTTAAAGAAAATCATATAAATAAGAAAATGCAATATTTACACTATAGTTTAAATTATACACAGAAAATATAATAGTTTACTTATTAAAATACATATATATTTGTGATTTTTTTTTGTAATTAGAAAAATAAAATCTATACTTTAAGAATGTGAGTATTATTTTTTTAAAATTAAATCGAATAAAATCTATTAAGAGTAAGATAAAACTTTAAAACATCAAAATTAGACCTAAAAAAATATTTACACTAAAATAATATATAATTTGGGTGTGGTCAAAAATTAGTTGTTCACAACACATGCAGAAGGTAGCAGATTTCAAGGATGGTAATCATGGGCCGCCTTACGGGTTCCTTCTTACTAAGGTGTTTGAGTTCTTCAAAGTTCCTTCAGGACAAGCTAAAGTGGGAACCTGTAAGCAAACCTTATCCAAGACTATCCTCGAGGAATGCGAATGCATTGAAAAGGTTGGGGGTTGGCAACACTTCTACTATCTCCTAGTTGATCAACGCTCAAAACGGTACCACTACTGAGATAAGGAAGCTGAAGGCAAGGAACGCATTCTTGAGGGTCAGCTAGGTCAGCTTCAGGAGGCACCTGGTTCTAGTAGCTCTCAAAGCACAGAGGTTGCCCGTCTGACCAAGGAAAATGCCGACCTCAGGAAACAGGTTGAGGACCTGAAGGAAAGGATGCTCAACGAGCAGGTGTCAGTTAATGCTAGAATGGACATCCTTCTTCGTACTCTTGCCTCTTCATCTGGGCCTTCCCCTTCTAGTGCTCCCTAAACAGTATCCTTCCCAAGTATCGAGTCCTTAGTGTCTGTCTTTTGTTTTTATTTTGATGATGTTTATGACTGGTACTTTCGTTTTTGCTGTTTTTATTTAGTGGATGTGTTTGGAAACAATGGAATTGCTCCCTATTTAGTGATCCAAAATTAATGAAAGTCTCATCCTTTTGTTGTTTATGCCTTATTCTTTTGCTCTATTTTAGTCATTATTGTATGCACACATGTGGCATGATTTAACTAAAGCTAGACTTCTTTTTGTTTAAGGCCTGCTATTGATCTTTTTATGATACCAAAAGGGGAGAAAATAATTAAGGGGGAACAGGATGGGTAACAGATTCAGAAGGAATACAGGAAATGCGATTGTCATTCTGGTTCTTAGGGGGAACTTGAATTATAAGTTTGTCATCGTCAAAAAGGGGGAAATCGATAGGTTATATGTGTATCCCTGTTATGTTTTGATGATCTAACAAACTTACTGTTAAGAACCAGATAAGGAACCTGATACATATCGTCAAAAACTTAATGATGAACAAGTCTCCAGTTGGGGACATAGTTCAACTCTTCAGAGTCGAAGAAACAGCAGAGGGAACAGATAGCTACCAGTTTCGGAGGAGACTGTACAAGTCAACTGCCCCAGCTGTAAAGTTGCTGCCTGCACACGCTACAGTGCAGCAATCAACTTTATAAGGAATGCCCTTTACCTAACTTGCTTGCATCATTCAAAGTGATGTCACAAATGAATTATTAACATCAAGCAAGGTAAAAACAAATTGCACATTTAAGAATTGATCAAGCATTTCTCACAGTCATCTATCGATCTTGCAAGTGACTCTCAAGGGCATCAAGAATAAAGAAGAACATAGCAACGGACCAGTTCCTTGTAACGAGTTATTACATGCCCTTAGTTGTGTTGTACCTTTGTTAAAGCACTTTACTTGTAATTCCTACTTAGCTTAGTCAGAAGCATAGTGTAGGAAATCTTTGTAAATCATAAACCCTTGTGTTTGTGTCTTGGCTAGAGTTAGTCGAATTGTAAAGTCTTTGTATAGATTTATTACAAAATGGCTTGTAATAGTGTTGTTACAAGTTAGTGAGGATTTAAAAGGTTAATTCCTAGGTTATAATAGTTTGTAATCTAAAGTTTGCTCAGTAGTGAAGTTGAAATCTACAAGGGTAGGTCATGGTTTTTGATCCCGTGAGCTGGGAGTTTTCCACGTAAAACTCCATTGTGTCATTTACTTATTGCAGTGTGCGTGTGTTCTGTGGGAACTAATAGAGAACCTGGTTTTCTATATAGTTTGGTGGACCCTTAATTTTTATCAAGAATAAGTGATTTGGTTCGCCTTAAGACGTTCACTGTAGCCAACAATCCAGGGCTTTGTGGGGAGCCCTTGAATAAATGTGAGGATATTTCAGCGGGTTCAGAGGATAAGTGGAAAGATGATATTTGTTCCTTCATCCAAGGGTTTGTGAATGGTTGGCTACTTTTTTTTACATTGGTTGTAGTCTTTCTCTTATTTCAATTTCCTAGAAAGACTATCTGTTAAAAATCTGTGTTGCTGTAAGTAAATAAAACAGTAATCTTTCTGAAAAATAAAACAAAAAGTTAGTAGAAACAATTCTGAAAAATATTCGAACTTCAAAATAATTTTTGAAACGTTGAAGGAACAAATCGAGCCCACTGAATACACAGTGTGTCCTTAAGGAAATTATTCCCCTCAAGTACCCGAGGTTATGGAATATATCCTCCGAGGATAGAACAATTTAACTCACCGGAGTGTTGGTACCAAAAACGCTGATGATCAGCGAACCACTCGATGGCAGCAAAACACACTGAATTTTAGTGCAAAAGAAGAAGAAGATAATCAGAAAATTTCGTAAGTAGATTTGAAGGTCTATTTATAGCCAACTTGGTGATGTTTCTGAAGAGGTTTGTAACCTTTCAGAATAGTCATGACTGTTGGAACAGGTGTGACCCTCTGAAGAGGTTTGCAACCTTTCAGAATAGTCATGGCTGTTGGAACAGGTGTGACCCTCTGAAGAGGTTTGCAACCTTTCAGAACAGTCATGGCTGTTGGAACAGGTGTGACCCTCTGAAGAGGTTTGCAACTTTTCAGAATAGTCATGGCTGTTGGAACAGGTGTGACATTGTTTCAGAACAGCCATGGCTGTTGGAAATTTTTGCGTGAAATTTAAAACGAATTTAAATTAATCCGGGAAAGAAAAACGGGCTAGACCGGACCGGGTCGCGAGTCATCCATCCATTTCTTTTCCCACCATTTTTCATTCACACCTCTTTTGTTATTATTTATTAAATAACAAACCCAAGAATTGATTGCCTCTGGATAAGTAGGTTTCCCTTTGAACTTTCCGTAGTGAACTTATATCGGATATACTCGGTCAATCAGTAGATTTGATATCTTTGAGCCGTCGAGCTTTGTTGTATACCTAGACAATATAAGTCACACAATCAATCCTTAACCATCTGTGGTTCTCACGGTTGTGTTCGTTTCAGCCATGAACACCGCCTGGTTTCATGAGTGCTTAGAGAATGGGCCTTTACTTTCATTCTCCTTGAAGCGGCTTACACTTCACACTCACATAGGTGATTCCTAAACGTGTAATCCTAAAGACACACTGTCTGTTCATATCCTGCCAGACTTAGCAAATCATTAAAAAGCTTTAAGCTTTATTGACTCATCAAAAAAGCCTTAATGTTTTACCTCATTTTTTGAACATTGTCTTCATCACGAGAATGGGTTGAGTTAGTTGACAATATTGAACCGTCATTCATAACTTTGTTTGGTCTCTTTGAACCTAGCTCTTGGGATCTCCAGTCTGCTAGGTAGAGTTACCGCCATGATGACTTGTCCTAGGCCTTTAACCCATTCCCTTTGATGATCTTTCAACCGCCTCTCTAGATAGGCCTTTTGTAAGTGGATCCGACATGTTATCTCTTGACTTTACGTAGTCAATTGTGATAACACCACTAGAGAGTAGTTGTCTAACGGTATTGTGTCTTCGTCGAATATGACGAGATTTCCCGTTATACATAACGCTCCCTGCCCTACCTATTGCCGCTTGACTATCACAATGTATACATATAGGTGCCAAAGGTTTGGGCCAAAATGGAATATCTTCCAAGAAATTCCGGAGCCATTCAGCTTCTTCACCGGCCTTGTCTAAGGCTATAAACTCAGCCTCCACTGTAGAGCGGTCAATGCACATTTGTTTGGACGATTTCCAAGACATCGCTCATCCACCGACTGTTTAGAATCGGTTGAACCGGTGATCTAATTTGCATCACTATACCCCTCTATTATCGTGGGATACTTATTGTAGTGCAAAGCATAATTTGGAGTATATTTCAAATACTTCAAAACTCGTTTCATTGTCATGAACGTTCAATGCAAACTTTTTTATGTTGTAGACTAATACGTCTCGATTTTCGATTGCATATCAGATTATTGACTACACTTAATGTAGTAATTATAACAACAGCTGGAATGATTGGCATCAGTTGTGGCCACAACCTTTTAATATATAACACATTTCGTAATCATTCCGCCATTTTTAAGCATTTGTATTCTATTCATTCATATGTCTATATGATATGAAAATTATAGCACCTCCATTCATGAAACAAATCCAACTTGCAATGGATTTTGGTCATGTTCATCGGTTAGTTCACCTCATTATAGACTAACGTATTAATATATTCGTTCATGAACGGTCATGTCTATACAGACGTATCTTTCTATGAAAAAGTCACAACCTTCAAAGTGACATCATTTCATAAAAGAACTAAACAATATAAATTTTCATTAAAGAAAATGACCTTTCGAGAAAGGCATGTGACCAACTTCCGAATTAGTAGTTCATCAACTAGTCTTTATTAAGACTAAACAACTGATGATTTTACCAACTACTATATCAATGGAGTTCAA